TTCGTGGACACAGTTAAGAAGGAGGTCCTGTGTAGCAAATTCCCAATGACTGCCACTACCGCCGGGAGAGCCACTTCTAAAATACAAAAAGGCAGAGAATATACCAGAAATATTTTGATATTCAGTTGCAGAGGTGCTTTTTCAGTTACACTGAATATAGCTATAACTAGCATTTATAAATTCAGAACTAGATAAAAATAAAGCTAAGAAACCGTATTTTCAGAAGGGAATCTTTGGATGTCCACCTAGGTTTTCCAACTAGTCACAAAGCTCTAGACATCACTCTCCTACCTGCTCTCAGGAGCGTGCTAAATACTAGTCTGAACGAACTTACTTTCTCCTAATTCTCTTTGCTATTTAATATGTTGCTTTGGTCAGAGGATGAATGTAAATGTCATGCCAAAAGGTACTGTCTGGTTGTAGGTTGCATAAAAGGAGTAAACACAAAGGCGATCCTGCCACAAAGGGATTTCTGCAAAGTCAGAGCATGGTGAAGCCACGCACAGGTAGACCACGGCTAGTTCTCTATGCTGCTTTATTACCTTCTTTGCTGCTTCTGTTCTCTGGCAGCTGTGATTCACACACGCCACGGAGCGCTGCATTTTCTGACAGAGACATGGCTTCAATAGTCATCCGGTCTTTATCTACTAGGGCCGTCTGCCTCAGTTCTGTGGGTGCTGACTGGTTTGTGGTCACTGATTGTGATACCAAAGAACATTTATCAACTTTCAAATGCTCGGCTCTTTGACCAGCCTCATTATTGAGGCTCAAACTAGTAGAATCCCAGTCTGAAGGATCTGAAAACAAAGTTTCCACTTATTAGAATGTGAGTAACAACACAAACTTGACTAACTTGTACGAATTCTCTTTCCAGAGCAGCAGCCCCACGTCCTCCTCTTCCCCCAAACACACTGCTCCTTCCTGGCTGTTTGTACTTTAAATGTCATTGCTGTTCACATAGGGAACCACTGTCTCTCTTTTTTCTACTTTTAATTTCCTGGTATTACTTATTTGGACTCACTCATCACTCTCTATAAAACAC